CGAGCGTTCTTGCTCATTTTGCTTCCGAGAAACATACAAAACGGGACGGAAAACATAAAATTTTGCAATAATCTTACGCCACCCTTGCACAAAACGACGAAAATTTTTCTAATTTCATAGACAACCGAAGACTGTATTGTTTCTACATAGCCCCCTTCCCCCTGATGATACCGCCATCATATCAAATCATCAAGTGATGACTATTGGGACAAAGGCAAAGCAAAAATGAATAAGTACCTGAACGAGGTAGCAACTTGGTTAGCTCTAAATAAACTCTTTAAACTTAGATGAAACAGTGTTTCATACATACAATTTGATTGACATTTAATACAAAAACTTGAAAAAATCGTAAGTTTTTCAGTTGGACTTCGAGAAATCACCATGAAGTATTTTTGTTCGCCTGCACTCGACTAATCTGTTATAAGACGTTTTATGTTCAATTACTTAGGGTTTCATTTTGCTAGTTCTGCATTATTTTCCTAAAATATATTTTTGTTTTGCCAATTTTTGACTCAATTTTTCCAATTTTGTACCAAATGGTTTAAAACATCTTTGATTTTTTAAATGCACTGTTTACCACTCTAAAAAGTTTGACAGAAGAATACCAAAGTCAAGACTTGTATGATCCTGTTCTTGCCCACAAAGTCTTGGCCTTGTTCTTCGTATTGCAGCCTCGAGGACAAGGACAGGAGACTAAGGGATTAATGACCACCAGGACAAATTTAATGCGTTTCAATATCGAATTTCCGTTTGCAAGAGTCTCGTAAGACTAGTCTTGGCTTGGCAGAAGATGGTCTCAGTCTTTTCTTGTCTACATTGGGATTGTTCTTCCAGTCTCGCTCATCACTAAATCCTCCTGATACCTTTTTCTGCTAAACTTTGAGGCTTCCACTAAACCTTCCATATCTTGACCAAGGAAACATGATCCTGTAACAAGCAATTCGTCTCAATCCAGCTTAAAGTTGCATCTCGCCGACTAGTGATAAATCATCAGAGCCTGGATGGAAGGAAAAGAACAATTCGGGAGGTTTTAGGGCGCATGCCATCTGCTACACTGCGACGCCAAAACGGCCGCAAACTTCGTCAGTTTTGCAAAGAGTCGCGGTGCCGTCGCGACGCCCGATATGCGGCATCCACATTGGATGCTGGGGACGTCGTCCACACTATGGAACTTCCTAGAATTGCTTCACATTCTTCAATCTGTCCACCTCTTCAAATGCTGACGCATCCTAATCGACCTAGAACGCCTGTTTCCAAGAGGTAAATTCGGGTGTTTTCATTGAAGAACCTCAATGTTATTCTTCGGGTAATCGTTTAATGTGCGACTCCAGTTTTACTGTGTTCGCACGACAAAACGCGTCTCTGGATGTTGGTGAAACCAAGCAAACTTTGGGATTTCTGTTATTATCATCAGTCACGTTTGTAAATTATCCGGTTATTTGCCAGGATTAATTGTTTAAATACACTCAGCCGGTGAAACAAATCAAAATTACACCAAAACAAGCGCTCATGAATTTATTTTAAGCTTTTCTATTTGTCTTATTAGTTTAGGAAAGTTATGATGAGTAACGATTTTGAGTCAGATTTCTGGCCTTTTTTGAAAATATTGCCTATTTCAGCATGACTTTGTCTAGTATCATCTTGCATAATAAGCCATTCTAAATCGTTGTTTTCACGTCAAAAGCAATCACAGCCCGAGGAAAGTTTATATAAAAACGAATTGTTTGAATTTAATTAAAAGCAGCGTGCTATGCTCGAATGGGCTGGGATTTCTTTGCCATTTTTGCAGATATTTCAGTGATTATCACGGATTTGCGCAAAAAACCTTCAATTTTACATCCTGATTGAACGAGCTTCTTCAGGTGGAGGAGCCCGCATTAAACAAAGTTACTTCCATCAAAAGTCTCAAGTTTTACCAGCGATTTTCTAGCAACTTCGTTTATTTCACTCCATATATGTATACGAAACGGACAACTTTCTTCAGCGAACGTTCTTCGATTTAACGTTGAATTTGATTCCAGATTGTTAAGTTCTGAGCCGCAAATTCCGGTTATACCGAGCGCTCCGCAATACCAGCCGAGTAGAAGACGCGAAGAAGCCAAAGTCCTGCAAAATTTGAGGAGACGCCTAAATGCCGCCAAAGTTGTACAAGCCAATCGACCCGAACCAGTTGAAGCCCGATCTTGTGCCAATAATAATCTAAGTCCCGAAGACACTGACAATCGGCCTTATTTGTTGCAAAAGGTGATTGATTTTCCGTTTATCATTTCGTTCATCATTCGGGGCTTCATAACGTCATATCTGAGAAATTGTTCAAAATATCGTATCCGTCGCAAGGAGCTTTTCGGTAGCCCGTCTCAAGACCTTCCTTTTACTACTGGGGTTTATTTCGAAATTCCTAACCTCTAAAGAGATGGAAGCAGAAATAGGGGAACGTACCGGTTGAAAATAGTTAAAATTTTATAGAGACCAGAAAACGTTTTACAGGTCATAAAAATTATTTTCTTGGGGCTTTTCAGCAGTGATTTTTTACTTCTAATTTGTAAAACAATATTTCTAACCTCAAAAGAGATAGAAGTGAAACAGGTGAATTTTAAGGGGCCGTTGAAGTTTATTAAAACATCTGCATATTCCTTCGAATGTTTTCGATCGCCCGTGTTCAGAAAGTCTTTTATTTATCATGCATTTTTAGAAAATCCCAACTTTTAAAAAACTAGAAGCAAAAATCACATCTTTTAGGGACAAGGGAAGTTCAACAGCAATTATCTGGAAAACGGTTGGAAATATCCAAACAATCATGAGAGGCATTTCGGTAGAGCGCTTTGAGGACTATCTAAGCTGATTTGGGGGGTTTAAAAATTCCTAACCCCTAAAGAGATAAGAGCCAAATTGGCAACATTTCGTGGGTCTTGGCAGTTTAAACACCTTAATTATACCTCTAAAAGCTTCGTGGCAGACCATTCGAGAACTGTTCCAAAAAAAATCTAACCTCCACAAAGCACAAACTAAAATTGCCGACACGAAAGTTTCACAGGTTTTATCTCGGAAATGAGTAAAATACCTTAATTTCCAATACAACGTTTTTGAAACCTTGTCTTATGAGGTTTATTTCTCTAGGAAGGCTTTTTCAGACACTCCTAACCTCTAGAAAGTTATAAGGCAAAATGTAACGATTCTAGGGGCCATTGAAGTTTAAGACCTTTCATCTCGAAATGGGTTGCAAATAGCGGCATTTTCGTAAAGGTTTCGTACTTACTCCATGGGGCGTTTCAAGAACTTCCTTTTTGCCATTGACTTGATCAGAATTTCCTAACCTGTAAAGAGATAGGAGCAAAATTTCGGAGCATCCATCCAAGTTGCTTCAGCTGTTGTTTGCTCAAGGCAGCAACCACCTCTAAAGACGCAAAAAATCGTGAAAAACTCACCAGTTATATCATGGCTTCTTCTGCAATCAGCGCGTCATCTATACACGTCCAAGCGTTGAATAAACGAGTAAAATATGCTAAAATAAAAACAGGAAAATACCCATTTAACATGCTAATAGAATTCAGATAAGGGTGAAAGGTTTTAGCCACCCTAAAGCCAGCAAATGCCAAGGCCAGCTTAAGGAAACCGTCCACTAGATTAGGGTAATTTACGGCGTTTTGTAACGCCACGGGTCAAAGCCACCGGATTTTGGTTCATCGCATAAATTGATGTAGATTTTGTGAGATTTTTCACAAAGCACTACAAAATGTGTGATTTGAGAGCTTTCGTGTATTTAACACAGTGTGTGTTCTGTAATGAAACAATTATTTTCCTTCAACCTACTATCACTGATCTGGTGCGCGCAAGTTAGCGTGCTTTCTAATTTTCTAATTTAAATGTTAATTATGCTTAAAGGTGCATTAGAAATTCGTCATCCAGATAACTTTTCAGTTACCGTTCGTTTCCAGATTAGTCCGCGAAGATTAATTGCTGGCGTGAGTTTAAACGTTGGTTCTAATTTGTTTATTTGCTAAATTTACTGGCGGGATTTGTTTGAATTTGTGAATGTTTTTTAGCATTTACTAGGAAAAACGCTCGAAAATTGTAGTAGAGACAAGGCGTTTTTTGCATCATTCTTTAAAGGGCTTTACCAAAATAGAATGTCGATCTATGACGTCAAGTTTATGATAAATTACATCCAGAAAGGCAGGCGACTTTCCCTCTGCTGAAAATAGGGCGCACTTTGCTTAATGTTATCAGGATGATTTATTTCTCACAAATTTCCGTGTATGCATGGTAAGCATTGAGAGGCAAATTTCCTTCGTGTCCAGCAGGATCCGATAGAATAAATCCAATCGTCTGTTTGCTTTGAAGGAGTCCAAATATCAATTTCCATGGTCGTTTTTCTCTGGTTTTTACTTGAAGGGTGGTTTTTTTGCTGGAATTTCGCGTATAGTGTTTAATTGTTGTTGGTTGTAAAATTTTTATATTATTGTTTTGCGCGTCGAAGATAATTTTGTTTCACGACAGTCTGGAAGCTCGAAAAACTTACGAGTTTGATCCAGAGAAAACCAAGGTTTTTGCTTTATGGTTTCATTTGTTAAGTTTTTTTGCCTTGAAAATGGTGTTTTTCAATTATTTCTTGATAGCATTAGCGATTTTTAATCAAATAACACAAATAATTTTTTAAAGTAAAAATGGAGATACGAATTCAAATGTTTTCTTTCAACAACATGCATATAGCGAATTAAATCGACTTGTTCCAAGTTTATGGCGATAGAGAATAGTTTCCAATTTTTGAAATTTTCATCTGGTGATTAAAAAACATCAATTTTTCATTTAATAGTTTTTTATGGGCGTTAAGAACTGAAACTTAGCCCACCTTCTTATAGCAATTTTAGATGCATGAAAAGTCTATCGGTTTTTTCGCTCAGACGCTTCGTTTTTATTTCTTACGGTGCTCACTGTTTGGCAAGCAAATTCTCAAATTTTCAGTCAAAATTCAACAATGCATGATTTTTCTATCGCAAAAATGAAAGGGGTGATCAGACGCACAAAATAAATAGAAAAGTTCTTGTAAACATAGTCAGAAAATTCTTGCTTTTTGAGTCTCATGTCTAAAGCAGGGGTCAGAATGTACAGGGTGATAGCTTTTTAAGGGTCATGTCCCCTTTTACCAACCCTAAAAACTTTGAGTCGCATTACTGAGGTACAGCAGGATTTCCCTAGTTTTTTTCTTTTGCTTCTCTTCTGCATCTACTATGGGTTCCGAGTTATTAGCATTAGAATAAACTAATGCATGCTGGGTGATTTTGCAAGCATGAGAACGATTCCAGAGCTTTGTCGATTTTGTCATTTATTTTACGGTTTTTGTTCTAAATTTCAGCTAAATATCAGAAAAATAATGTTCCTAATAAAATTTGCACCACTTTGTGTATTTTTCTCTAACAGTTCCGTCCTGAATGAATAGTTGAACTGGAATAAAATATGTGTAGGACAATAAAAATTTGACTAAATTAGCTGACAAAGATAGATTTCGAACCAGTTTTTCAACTAAGGAAAAATTTTGTATTTGTAGATTTGAGAATGCTGGCTGCAAGAGAGCTGGAGCCATTTTTTTGGTTTGTAAAATATCGCGTTAGTGTTCCCAATATCTCGTTCTGCGATATTTCCTAAACAGAATATGAGTATTTTTTACAAACTTCTTTTTGGGTATTTTGCCTCAAAAATTTTTGTCTTTAAAAAAGACAGAATTTCCTCACGTCTTTTATTACAGATTCATAAATAGTGCTCCTATTTCGCAATAAGAACGAATTATTTATCAAAAAGT